AACTGTCATTATGGAAGTTTTAGTTTATCAGTAAACAAAAAATGTTTGACATTTTTCCATCTCTAATCTGTCATTGGCAGCTAACTGACATAAGGGACTGTCTATGTGAGTGGAGTGACTCACAGTTTTTCTCACCACTGCAACATGGTGCACTTTAGCCTGCACTTTTTTTTAAAACTACTTGATTGCTATAAGACCGTGACTGAGTTGACATTGTTTGCACTAGCTTCTTCACTAACATGCATATATATATATATATATATATATATATATATATATATATATATAAATATATATATATATATATATATATATATATATATATATATATATATATATATATAAATATATATATATATATACACACACACACACACACACACACACACACACATTGGAACAAAATGTCATTCTTCAGGCCCCAAACACACAACAGCAGCACATTACACAGAACATATTTAAAGAAAAACATTTCATTCCAGTTCCACTTTTTTCTCACAGATGTTTGATGTTACAGTGGACATCCACATTCTAAAGGGGAATTGACCACAAACAAGCAACAACTGGCCTGGCAAAAAGCAAAAACCCCACTTCACTCGTATTTTTGGAATGCATCAAGATTTTTTTAAATCCTTTATTCAGCTGATGCAGAGTAAGGGAGAGTTTTACTTCCATCACTATTCTGAATTAGGTTTCAGTGTTAACAGTGCTAACAAAGCCCAACACTTACCGTTGTCCGTTGTCCAGTATACACTAGATATGCTTGTAAGTTGTTTCATGTGAGTCCAAGTTGAAGCTAATGTCTTTGGATAAAAATCTGAGTGAATTATAACTGTTTATGTGTTAATGTTTTTATTTACAAACCTCAATTCCATGTTGGAACATTATATGAAATGTCAATAAAAACAGGACCTTAAAACTTAAAACTATGTTGATAACAATCTAGATGGTCCAACAAGGAATACTTAAAATCCTTGCAAACACTCATTGCTCTTAAACTATTGGAATATTTGCTGAGCAATTTTTTGGCGAAGTAGAGAGCCTCAACTTATCTTTGCTCATAAAAATAGGTCTTTCCTGGTTGCTCTTTTTACACTCGGTTACATTATCTATATGAGATGCTTTTTGAATTTTTCACAATATTCCTTGTTTTAAATTGCTCCTGTCTCAACTTTTGTGTATTGTGTAGGCATTTTGCATACATTTACAAAGTGTGTATGTTTAAAAAGACAACAACAACAACAACAACAACAACAATAATAATAATAATAATAATAATAATAATAATAATAATAATAATAATAATAACAATAATACATTAAATATCTTGTCAAGTGGATTTACAAATCACTGCTTTCTGTTTTTTATTTGTGGTTCACATACTGCCCCAACTTTTTGTTTGTATTTATTTCTTTACTGTGTAATATTCCTTGGTGTGATAGCTGACCCATCCTTGTGTTTAGTTAATAAATCATTAACGAGTGTTAGCTTATCAGGCCTAATAAACATATAACAGCTTTATAAATCTCTGATTGGAGCTGTAAAATAGACCAGACAATCCTGAAACCTAATGAACTGTTATTAACGTGTGTGTGTGTGTGTGTGTGTGTGTGTGTGTGTGTGTGTGTGTGTGTGTGTGTGTGTGTGTGAGCGACAGAGAGAGAGACAGAGTGGGAGTGAAGTGTGGAAAAATGCTAAATAAACCACCAAATTGCACACCTGGGTGTGCCAGTATAAACACAATAACACTCCTATCTGTGTGTGTGTGTGTGTGTGTGTGTGTGTGTGTGTGTGCATGTGTGTGAATTTAGCTGTTTCTGCAATGTGGCCTCCATTAGATGAGAGTGTAAAAACAGTAATGAGGGAGATAGTGTGTGAAATGGACTGTCACAAGGAATGTGCCACACAAGTGTGTGTGTGTGTGTGTGTGTGTGTGTGTGTGTGTGTGTGTGTGTTATCAGGGTCTAGACGTTTACATTCAGGCTCTTGTTCCTCAGACTGTGTTTATCAGAGCTAATCTGACCCTTCAGACTGGCTCTAATACCACACACACTCTCACACTCGCACACACTGTGCAAGCTCACCATCCAAACGCTCCAAATGTTTTCATCAGTTTGAGAGCTGTTTTAAAGGGTTGGTGCATGTATGACCAAAACTGGCCTGACAGAATTTTCACTGGTGTCTGGACTGAGCTGATGGGTTTGGTTGGAGCTTCTTTCTTTTCAAAATTTGTTATTATTATTGTTATTAATTATTTTTATTTTCTTGTATTCAAAATAATAAGGGCAGGGCATTTGTCTTTTAATATCATTTGTATCAATCACAATATTGCCAAAAAATAATCCATCATTGATGAATTTGCTTAAAAAAACTTAAAGTTAGAATGCAATGTATTTTATGATCTCCATCATCTAAATTGGTAGTTATTTTTTTTTAAAAATAGCTTTGATTTAATTGCTTATTGGTCCTAGCCAACTGTTAAAAAGTGCTTGGTGATAGAATTGTTCATTAGGATTTTATCTTGTATTTTTGCAAGTTTATAAAAGCAACAAGCCACTCTGTGTCATGTGTTACAGTGATTTTACTTACTTTGTGTCGGACTAATATCAATATCAATAAAACATATCAACACACTTCTTACCAAAAATAAATAGACTGAAGTGCAAAATTTCATTGATGTAATATATTTTATTATTGTGGAATGGATGCACACATTTAAATTTAGTAAACTCAGTGTGTTGCTTTTAACTATGTTAGTTAATTACAGTATGATTTATTATCAAGGTACCAATGTTTTTTCCAGCTTTTCTTCCACGACAACAGAGAATCTCACAGACAGTGTCTCTTTCTTTCTCTGTCTCTCTCACTCTCTCTCTCTCTCCCTCCCCACACACACACTTGGAGTTTCTATAAAACTGTCAGAGCTGTGTAGTTGGTAGCTTTATTTGAGGTGGCTGATGGCAGATGAGGAGAAGAGGTCTGGATAACTTCACTACAGCTCCAGCAGGAGAGGACTGAGGGAGAAAGGAAGGGAGAGAATAAAAGAGAAAGACAGAGTGAGAAAGAGAGATAACAGAGAGAAAGACAGGAAGATAGACACCAAGAGACAGAGAAAGATAGTGAGAGAGATAAAGATGAAGTGAGACAGAACATGAGAGAAAGGAAAAGAGAGTTAAATAGAGAAAGAGAGATGAAGATAGAGGGAAAACGACAGAGACGGAGAGAAAAAGGAATGAAAAGAAACGGAAAGATGAAGAGGAATAGAAAAATGAAGAGAGAAAAGACAAGAAAGAGGGAGCGAGAAAGAGAGAGAGAATGACAAAACAGAGGAAGAGAGAATGAGAGACAGATATGGAGAAAGATAAAGACGAAGTGAGTGAGAGAACATGAGAGAAAGGAAGAGAGAGTTAAAGGGAGAAAGAAATGAAGACAGAAGGAGAATGACAGAGGCAGAAAGAAAAAGGGATGAAAAGAGAAAAAGATGAAGAGAGAGAACATAAAAGACAGAAAGCAAAACAGAGAAAGATGAAGAGAGAATAAGATTTGAAGAGAGGAAAGAGAACAAGAGCGAGAGAGATAGAGATAGAGAGAAAGTGAGAGAGAGAGAGAGAGAGATCAGAGAGATCAGAGAGAGAGAGAGAGAATGACAGAAAGAGGATTATAGAGAACAAGAGACAGAAATGGGGAGAGCAAGAAGAGAGAGAACCAGAGAGAAATACAGATAGAAATAGAGATGACAGAGAGATGGAGACCAAAATAAAGAGAAAGAGAGACAGAAATACTTTAAAATATTTCTTTGCCCCCCTGCCCATGTCCTCTCTTCCTCGTTTTCCCTTTCCTCTTCTCTCTCTCTCTCTCTCTCTCTCTCTCTCTCTCTCTCTCTCTCTCTCTCTCTTTATGTCTCTTGCTCTCACTCTAAAAAGTTCAGTAAGCCATTAAAGTCAGCTTATAGTTTATATGTAAACCTGTGCGTATTTGGTTAGTACTGGTGCATTAATAGTGAACAGACTTTAATAAATGATTTAGCAGTAATAAATGAATTAATCATGGCTTTATAAAGTGATGAGTTGTGTTTGGAGTGTGAGGTGTGAATTTGCTCATTCAGACAGAAACAGGCTTTCAGTGATTCATTCTAAGAGCAGCCGCTTCTAACTTCTTCCATGAAATGACTTGTTCCATTAAAAGATGTGCTTTGTATATATATATATATATATATATATATATATATATATATATATATATATAAGCTTTTTAAATGATGCTATGATGATGAATTACTATTACTCATACTACTACTTTTATTTGTTCATTGATTTATTTTATTTCTATTTTATTTTCAAATTACTCATTAGTTGATATATTTTACAGTGTGGCCTTCATGGCCGACAGGGGGCGCAGCGCTTCTTCTTTCCCCACCCTGACTGCCTGACTGCGCCTCGTAATTTAGTGGAGTTGTGGGGGGCTGCGGTGGGCTGCGGTGGGGTGTGGTGGTGGTGGTAGTGGTGGGGGGCGAATCTCCAAACAACCCCCCGACGTGCGGAACGGGGTTTAGGTCTATTACATCACACCCACAGCCCCACGAGCGCAGCTATATATCACATGCTGGAGCGCCAGAGAGGCAGAATCTCCAGTAACTCCAGCGCGGAGAACATGCGGAGAATGCAGAGATTCCATCGCGCGCGCAAAGATTCCAACGGCTGCTGCAGCGCGCGCAGACACAGCGAGACCGTGAGGCTGTGACGGGAATCATCCGGAGCTGCTTTCCCACATTTCATTAATAATCCACTGACGCTGTGGCGGAAAACACCAGGAGTAATTACTTTATTAACGAACTGAGCGCGAGCAGGTGGAGAAGAAACGGAGCTCCGCGCGCTTCCGTAGCCATGGAGAAGACACGCGCCTCCGCGTGAAGCTGCCGAGGAGAGAGAGGGACTCTGAACGTGTCATTTCAAATTCTGTTTTCTTTTTTTTCTCCCTGGTTCCCCTTCGCGCCTCGCGCCATGCCTCGCTCCATCCTCGCGCTCCCGCTGCTGCTGCTGTCCTTGCTGTGCCTCGCGCGTGAGAGTGCGTGCCAGCACTACTACGCGCTGCGTCCGGCGCCGAGCGACGCCCTGCCGCTCGTGGAGCTGCACGAGGACCCGGATCCTGCGCTGGACCCCGGAGAGCGCGATCTGAACGAGACCGAGTTGAGGCGCGCGCTCGGACACTTTGATGCGCGCTTTCTGTCCACATCGCCTCCGCTGCCTCCGGAGCAAGAAGAGCAGCGAGAGCACGAGCGCCACCTCGCGGGTGGCAGCGGCGACCTCCACGCGGGGCTGAAGAAGAAGATGAAGAAAAAGCTGCAGCAGCAGAAGAAAAAGCGGCGGAGGCGCCTGTGGCTGCGCGAGCGCACGCTCTGCCCCGTGGCGCACGCGTGGAGTGACCTGGGCGCGCGCTTCTGGCCGCGCTACGTGCGCCTCGGTAGCTGCAGCCGCGAGCGCTCGTGCTCGGTGCCCGCGGGGATGCTGTGCACGCCCGCCGCATCCACACACGTGACGCTGCTGCGCTGGAGATGCGCGAGACGAGGGACGCTCAAGTGCGCCTGGATCCGCGTGCACTATCCCGTCATTACTGAATGCAAGTGTTCGTGCACGAGCAGCTGACGTGAACTTAAGGTTGCGTGTTAATAGGCTGCATATATATACATTCTGGACTGCATTGTAATATATTTTTTTGTTGTTTTAAATTTGTGTATGCACTATCCAGATGTGGTCTATAATAGCCTAAACCACACTGCAGTAAAAGTGCTGGTACTTCTATGAAGTAATACATAGGCTGATTATTAGAAGTAGGTGAAGTTGGGGGGGTGGGTGGGGGGGGGCTGTTTTTGCTTCAGTGTGCATTATCTGGAGGTGGGAATGTATCCTACTACACATTTTAAAAAGATGGTTATTCAAGGGTTCTTTAGTAAGGGCAATGATTAAACATGTAGCACCAAAAAGTGTTCTTCTATGACATCATATCCACAGCAGAACCTTCTGTGGTGCTATATAGAACCGTTTTCAAAAAACCATGTACAACACATTCTCCATCACTCTAAAGAACATTTCACCACACAGAGAACCATTTAAGCATGAAATGGTTCTATATAGAACTTGAAGTTTTAAATAAAACCACTGCCTTTACTCAAGAACCCTTGAAGAACCATATTTTTATGCTTCTGTCCTGGATATTGTCATTTTCATGACACATTTGTAGTTGACTGCATTTGTACCCACTTGTAATGGATAGCAAAATCACTACAGTTGAACATCTGGTGGACATTCACCCATGGAGCCTAAAACCATGCTGAAATAAAAGTGTTCACTTCAGTGAAACAAAGAATCAGGTAAAATAGCAACCTGTTCTACGTAGTACTGAATTCTGTATAGAGCCATTGCCTTTACTAAAGAACCCTCGAAGAATCAGTGTAAGAAAGAGTAAGAAAATGATCAGATTTAAAGACTGTAAGGATACTTAGTTCCCTTCTGTTAGCATAACTGAAGCTTATTAGCTCCTGCTACATTTGCTCTATAAACATGCTCATTTATCCACCAGATTTGAGCCACTTTTGCACAAATTTCTTGCTAATGTTTGTCCAACTAACCTTAGGTCTTTATCTTCTAAATTTGTGTGAATAGGAGCATCAGTTAGTGTGAAGTCTGCCAGCTAAGTGTTAACCAAGCTAGGCTAGCTCTATCCATGGCTGTCCTAACTAGCATAGCTTAGAATTTAGAAAGTACTGTTGTCATTAGCAAAAGGGGACTTAACATTTATTGAGTGATGATCTAAAAATATCTCTCATATATTTACTATTAATGTTTTTTTTGTTGATGTTTTAGTGGCAGTGCTGTGTTAAGCTTTTAGCACAGTTCCATCAAAACTACCAGAAGTAGTGGACAAAGTTTAAATCTGATCAAGTAAAAGTGACACTGGAGTGACCAAGTCCAAATTCAGCATTTTTTACTTTTACTTGAGTCAACACTTTATAGATATATCAATACTTTTATTTGAGTGTGGTTTTTGGCTCATCTCTTTACAAAAAGAGACGAATAGTTCCTAACAGACATCAGTTGTCATTCCTTTCAGTTATATATTCAACTAGGAAGCAATATGGTTAAATCTCAGCATTTTTGTAAACACACTGTTGAAACTCTTGTTCTTGTCACAGCTAACATCCATGGAACTGAGTAAATGTTACTACCCACCTTTAATACTCTGAAGTGTAGGAATGTATTTGTTTATGTATATATGATGTCATGTAAAAGGTGATAGTAGCCTGTAAAAAGAAATGTCAGTATTATTACGTGTAACCAGAGTCTACTGTATTTGTGGTAAATATTTGGCTATAACTTTTGTATTTATATTGCTAAGAATGGCGCATAGAGCTGTTTGGAATATTGTATGCAGTTTTTCCACTCTTTGGAAAGCTCTGATCTATTGACCTCACATTTATTATGGAGTTTTTTTTATGGTGCACAGCTGTGACAGCTGTGCTCTTTTGTCAAACGTTTTATCCTGTAAATTAAGAGCAATTGCTATTTATTCTTTATATTCATATAATAAAATATTCTGGAACATAAAAGCACCAGAGTGGAACTTTGTTTGAAAAAGGCTTTTGGGGCCGGAGTGGATTTGACTTTATAGTAAATGTCAGAGTGCACAATGAAGTAATGCATTTGGGTAAAGGGCTGCAGGCAATGACTTCATATAAATGCATAAAAGGGGAAACATGCACAGACCTTATGGTGAATGCTAATAGATTTGGTTTGGATGGGTTACCTGCTACAATACACAAAGAATGGTGTATATAAATAATTTACTCTAACCCATTGAATAGAAATATTAGCCAATTGTAACAGGTCTGTATATCATTGTATTTATAGACTGCCATCTATATCATCATAACAAAACCTCATAATCTGTAATGGTAGCTTAATAGATGAGGGTGAAAAAAACTTAATGAGATATTATTCATAGCTATCACTATTGAAATCGTGTCAAAAGAGTTTCAGACCGTTGATATGACAGCAACATGTATCTATATGTGATTTCATTCATGCATTGTCACATACATTCATTCATTCTTACACTGCAAAAATCCCACTGAGCTTTAAGGTACCTTAGAAAGGTCCTACACATGGTTTGCTTTTAAACATTAGCCCCCATTATGAAGGAGCAGCACTGGGGTGTTCCCAACCACAAGCCCTTTCCAAAGAGTGAGAGGTGATAGGGCTTGGTGTGAACAATGTAGAGCTCGAACAGCTACTGACAAATTGGAGTGGAGCTATCATCTGACCCCTCCAACACAAAAGACAGTTCATATTATGAACTGAATTCAATTATCCCACATACTTCCATTCTATCCTATAGAGTGGGTCCAGCATTTCACTGTTATATCTCTAAAATGAGACTTTACAGGATTAATTAATGCAAAGTGATATAACATAATGTTCCAACTAATTTAGAAGCATTTCTATTGAAATATGCAAGGATAGCTGGTGTTTTCAAAGGTTGTACAACAATAAAAACCCAAAACAGTGTAGATTCAAGGTTTTGACAGGAAAGTGATGAAATATGCCCTTAAAAATAAAGGGTCCTAAATGGCTTATATGTACAGTTCAAAGAAAACTTTTAATAGGCACATTGACTTTACATTTCTCTGAACTTTATAATGGTCCACATACGCACATCTCATTTACAAAGAATCATCCACTGCAATGTTCTTCACATATGCAGAAGTGGTTCTTTTATGGCTTTTTCCACCTTCATTTTTAAGTATCAACTTTATTATCTGCAATGCAATGACAGTTGATGACATATATTCTGTTTGTAGGTCAAACAACATTTTTGAGTTCCCCCCTCCACCCCCGCTGTTGTCCATTTGTGGCCTGGCGGGGGGTCGGTCTTCCCCCCCAGAGCACGGAGCCAGGCTGAGAGCGGAATAAACATGACCAACAGGCCCCATAAAGGCCATCAAACGCATGCTCTGTTTGACCTGTCACACCGCCGCTTTATCTAAACACAGCTCCGATTAGGACACACACTCACACACGCGCTGACCAAACACACCAGGGGCTCCTTTCAAAGTGACGGGGTTCCCAAAGTGTTGAAGTAGCAAATTGTTGCAGTTAAAATACGAAACGACCCACCGCGTTAAGCTATGTACACAGTAGCTTTTGAGATTAGTTTCTCACGCCTTCGCATTAAGAGATACAGAAAGAGGCTCTAGTTTTCCCACAGAGGAGCTGTTTAACTCAATACATTATCATACACCACAGACACCACAGAGGAGAATGCATCTCCACTGTGGATTGACTGCAGTGATACAGAGGGATCAGTCAGAGGGGAATGTAAGGGGACCCCCACTCAGAAATGCACTAATTAAAACTGATCACACCAATGTCTTGAACATATTTTTATGATCTTTTAGAGGGAGAAACTTTTAAATGTGTGTATATATTTCTTGCATGATGCAGAAAGCTAAATGTTCTTATTGCTTTTTTTGTTATTGTTTCTTACAGACTATCAAATGCTCACACATACATTCTCGAAATACTACACACGTGTAGAAACATCCTCTATTAACATCCTTTTTAGATTAACGATAATAAACCCTAATATAAAGATAAAGATGTGATCATTATATTAACATGTTTATTTTACATATTCCACTTTTATCTTCAAGCTTCCTAAATGTTTTACTCAGATGAGTCAAAAGATGAGATGTATGATAGGAAAAACACTTTTTGTGGTAAACAGCCTTTACATTATGCAGAGGTTCTTCACACTTTCAAAAAGTTCTTAACACTTGCACATCTCGTTTATAGAAAGAGTTCTTTAAAGAGCTGAAAAGGCCTTCAGTGAACTGAAAGCGGTTCTTCCATGGCATTGCCCAAAAAAAGCTTGTTGGGACCTATTTTTAAGAATGTAAAGTTATGAGCAAATCAGCATTGTAATGAGAAAATAAAATGAGACGTCTAAAAAAGGGCTTTTCTCCACTAAAAAGGGAGTTTAGTTTAGCCACTGTTTGTAACCAAGCACTGTTTTATCCTTTCTCTCTTCTTTAGGGAAGAAGAGAGTGGGCAAGAGAGAGAGAGGTGTGCACTGAGTTTCTCAATTTGTGTATAATGGATAACAATGCGCATAATGTGCAGTCTCCCATTCTCTCTCTCTCTCTCTCTCTCTCTCTTTTATATATATATATATATATATATATATATATATATATATATATATATATATATATATATTCTCTCTCTCTCTCTTTTCTCTTTTTTCTCATTATCTCTCTTATTCTATCTCTTTAACTCTCATTCTCTGTCTCTCTTTGTCTTTCTCCTTCTTTCTGTCTTACTTTCCTGCCCTTATTTGATCTCCCCCTCTCTCTCTTCCTCTTACTGTCTCTGTCTCTCTTACTCTCTCCTTCTCTCCCTCTTTCTCTCTCTCTCTCTCTCTCTCACACACACACATTTGCTTATTTATTCTCTCTTCTGTTTCTCTCTTTTTTCTCATGATCTTTCTTACTCTGTCTCTTTAACTCTTATTCTTTCTCTCTTTAATTTTATCTCACTTTCCTTCTGCCCTAATTTGCTCTCTCTCTCTCTCTCTCTCTCTCTCTCTC